CTATCAGGTTTTCTGCTCATGTAGTAGTCTCATTGGGGTGTAAACTTGCGGACCCATAAGAAAGAGGCCTGCTTAACTCAAGACTACTTGTAACAGTTTATATGTACAGAAATATGAGCTGTCTAAATTCATTTATGATGCATTTCAACATATTGAATGATTTAAATCTCAATATCCAGCAGGAACTTATTCTAGTTTTTTGATAGAATTAAGAGTATGGACCAGGATTAGCCACTAATTAAAATAACTAGGCTTGATTAACCTCCAGTTTATTTAGGGTTTTGACATATCTCATGACTTATAGGCTCTGAATGCATACATGCATACTTACATTCGCGTGTGCAGAACACACGTGCAACCACACTATGCGGTACGTATTTAAATTTCACGATCTCTATTAAATTAATCTGCGAACATGTAACTATGACGATTACATTTCCAATCGATGCATTGAATAACGCATCATGCTGTCAAAAGTAAGTAGGATTGCAACAAGTCATCATATTTGACTCAGTATTCTTCGAGATTTCTTAAAGAATTGTTTGTGATTATGCCTTTTAGATTACAGCTAAAAAATCGGCATTGATTTATTGAAATTACTTTTCTCTGAGGTCACTTTATAAGTTAATTTTATCCAACCTTATATACGAAATGAAAAGCATGATGACATGATAGAGGGGCTTTCCTTTATGTTCATTCTTTAGCATTAGAATCCCACTAATGACATGACTCACCAAAGGTTCCTTGGATAGAATAAACATACAAGTGGACAGTCTGAAAGTCTGTGATTAACCACTTCTTACAAAATCTTGAATAATATACCGATGTGACGCTTAAAACGGTATTACAAAATTGATGCTTTTGCGAGTGTGGCAAAAGCATTCAACAATGCTTGTTAAAACTTCTATTTAATAACTCAGCACCACTTAAAGCCTTGCTATCCTTAAGCTTTATTAGGACTCTCCTGATATTACAGTTTTTGCCTCCGAATCACCGCTTTGTTTACATGTAGTTCTCATTCTATCTTCTGTCAACCATAAGTGTTTAGATATCATGCATGTACTCCACTCACATCTTTAAACCAGGAGGAGATGGATGCTAAAACGAGACTAGAACGAGATCGGCTGAAGCACCAACGGATTCAACGGGAAACAAAATGCGAGGACTGGCTTCATCGTAAGCGTATCGAGGCGCAACGGCTTCGGGAAGAGGCTGCGCAGAAAACGGCTCAAATAATGGAATGCAAACGATTAGAGGAAGAGCAAAAGGTGAGATGATAAATGAGTATTAGTTATCTACGAACAACAATATCAGCTTCACTTTGTCTCCATTGTGCTACACGGTCATGGATGCAAGTTGATTACAGGGCCGATGTGACTTTCAAGGAGAGCCAGTCCCCTCCTAGTAGGAGTGTGGTCGAAAAAGCAACCTTCTTCTTTACATTAGAATCGATGACTTTAATTATATAAACTATAAACATTTTTCGATATTATAATCAGATCATAGTGGCGGAAATGCATTCAATCCTATATGGGAAGCATTTTGAGAGACAGGGATAAGTGACCTATTACCTCATAGGAAATTTAAATTGATTACTTCTTATTTTTAACTCTAATTGTTTTGTTAGATTTTAACTGCTTTAGTAGATATGTCGATCCAGCCTCAAATAAGGATTTCGTTTACAGTAATTTTTTATTCCTTGATTCATGCCATTTCTAATGCCTTTAATTAGTATATTTCATTTGCTTTTTTTATGAATTAGTATAGGAGATAATGTTGAATAGAGTATGAAGGCGCTTGAAGGAGAGATTCGAAGATCAATCACACCACGAGGCGACGGATGATTATCGTCATACTACAGCCGTTTGGCTTTAATACGACTTTCAGGTTGACGCAGTCCACGAGACATCGTCCCTTGGTAGGGTGAAAACGGATTGAGCTTTCGTACATCAGATGATGCGAAGAAAGTTGGGTTTTAAGGAATATTTTGTTTCATAATTGTTAAACTCACTTCCATTTCGAGTGAAAGTGTTTGGTAAAGAGATTCGATGGTCGATTCCACCAGAAGACGACAGTGGATTGGCTTTACTGGAACTTTCATGGTGGCGCTGTTTCCTAGTTAATCTCCTTCGATTACGGTAAAATCAAACTTAGAATCTTTTCATAAAACACTTTCATTCGAAATAGAAGTAAGCTCAACAAGTAAGAAATACCGGCAATAAGTAAAGTTAAAACTATTTGTAGGTATTAAGACCAAGATGGTGTGGCCTTTTGTGTGGTCGCAGTCTCCTTTCCTTGTATAGATGTTGTTTGACCTTTTTTTGAAACATGGTAATATTGGTAGGAAGAATTAGAGGAACGCACATTATCTGGAGTCCATTGTCTGCATAATCATTTCCAAATTCGATCCGTGGACGTGGTACATTACCAAATGTTTCGCCGGCATCGTAATCGGCATCGTAAGTGAACCATTCTTAGCACAGCACAACAACTCGTCAAATAGACAAGTAAAGCCGATCCTTTGACCAAACGTGTGTTAAACAGTTATGGTATCTCCCCTTCTGCCCTGGGTTATTCGCATTTCCGGTATCATCCTATCAAACCTTCATTGCCACAATTTTTAGTTGCTTAATTAAATGTGGTACGGTGTGCCCTTCTAAGCGGCTTTCATGAGAACCCTCCATACTCCACGCTGGCCTTCTCACCCTCCTTCATCATTGTGCTGGGTCTGTTGATAAGAGTCTGCCATATTGTTACGCAGTCCTCCTTCCCTAGACCTTACTACAGTCTCTCTCTTGCCCCGTAAGATCCGTCTGACCTCTCCCTGGTTCATATATTTCACTCGACCCCTGCTACCCCATCTATGCCACTCGAGGCGTTATTGGCCTACCCGGCGTCTGGGTGACTAATTCGAGGCTAAAGCCTCTGAGTAAGTGTCATGGTCACGTCTTTTCCACATTGACCATGTCTCTTATAAAACCTACTGTCAGCCCACTAGCTCTCATCTCTAATACCAAGTCTATGACTTTACATGCCCTAGTCTCTTGTGTGGCAACCCACAAAATGAACATAGTCAAAACAAGCAGTACCACAACATTTGTGGGTTGACACACAAGAGGTTAGGGTATGATAAATCATAGACTTGGTATTAGAGATAGAAACAGAGAGGCTTTAGCCTCGAATTAGTCACCCAGCCGCAGAAGGGGGGTAATAACGTCTCGAGTATCACAGATGGGGTGGCAGAGGGCGAATGAAAAATGTGAACCAGAGATAGAGGGCAGACGGATCTTACGGGGCAAGAGAGAGGCTGTGGTAAGACCTAGGGAAGGAGGAATGCGTGACAATATGGTAGACTGATCAACATTCCCAGCACAAGGATGAGGGCGGGTGAGAAGGCCAGCGTTGAGTGCGGAGGGTTCTCATGAAAGCCGCTCATAAGGACACACCGTAGCACATTTAATTAAGCAAATAAAAAATTGTGATAGTGAAGGCTTGATAGGCGGATATAGGAAATGTGAATAGGCCAGGGCAGAAGGGGAGCTACCATAATTGTTTAGCACACGTTAGGTCAAAGGATCGGCTTCACTTGTCTCTTTGACGAAATGTAATATGGTGCTACGAATGGTAAAACTAACTGACGATGCCAGCGAAGCGTATGGGAATGTACCACTTCCACGGTCCGACTTTGGAAATGATGATGCATACAATGGACTCAAGGCGTTTCTCCAAGTCTTCCTACCAATATGACCGAGTTGCGAAATAAAGGTCAAACAACTTCTATAAGTAATTCCTACTTAACTTTCTACCACAGTTCCTCACATTTAATGTATTTCCTAAGATATTAATTTCACTAGCTTCTCTTATCTTTCTTTTAAACACAAATGTACGATAATCAGCAAACCTACTAGTTTGAGACCATTTTATTTCATGTCTAGTTTCTATCATGTGTTCGGCCACTTCTGACCGTTGGATCCAGCTACCTTTGCTAGCAATTTTGTCTTCTACCAATCTTTGTTGAATAGGTCATCATATTTCATCAACATAACATCGACGACATGAGCAAACAATTTTGTAGCAGCCGGATCTCGATATTGGGTCATATTTCTCTCTAAAAGATGGCATAACAGAGGAAAGTGTGAGGGTTTCTTTGAACACTGTTTTTATACCCCACTTCTTCACTAATTCGCCTATCTTTTTTGAGAGAAAACATGATGACAAAATTAGGACATGAGAAAAGGTCTTTATCTGTCTATCTTAGGTTAAATAGTCTCCGCCTGAAAATTTATTCCCCCAGTGGAGATATTATTCTCAATAAGGCCCAAAGGCTAA